GGGGGCGCAGGGGGCGGCGGCCGCTCCCGGCCGGTCCTACGAGGCGGCGCGGCCGGCTCGGCGCGGGGCGGCTGCCCGGTGGGAGCGGGGCGCGGCGGGGACCGGTGCCCGCGGGGAGCGGGGCGCGGCGGGGGACGCTCCGGGCGGGGAAGCGCGGTGGGGGCGGGATGTGCCCCCGGGGCGCTGGGCCGGGGCCGGCGGCGGGGCCCCCCGGCGGGGCGGCTGGACGCGGGCGGCGTTGTCGGTAGGAGATGCTGCCTTTGTAGCTGACTCGCAGCACCGCGCGCTGTTGGATCAGCTTCTCTAGCTCGGCCCGGGTGCGCTCGGGCTCCGGCCCGTGTCTCCGCCGCACCATGCGGCAGATGCGCTCCAGGTCCGGCCGCGCCTTGCGGGAGCGCAGCGAGTCGATGGTGTCCAGAATCCACTCCTGGTAGCGGGGCGCCTCCTGCCCCGGCGGGGGTGGCGGGGGCCCGGCCATGCCGCCGCCGCCGCCGCCGCCGCCTCCTTGTTCGCCCGCCGGGGCCGCTACCGCCTCCCTCCCCCGGGGGCTGCGTCCGCTGCACCGGCTCCTTCCGCGGGCCTTCTGGGAGCGGCTGCACGGTCCCGGCGCCTCTGGCGCTCCCCGCTGCACCGGCTCGGCGCGCCGCCCCCTGCCCGCGCGGGGTCGCTACTCCTCCCCCGGGCGCGATCCCCCGGCCGGGCTCCCCGGGCGCTGCCGCGGCTGCAGCTGGAGTCGGTGGCGCGCGGGCTGGTCCCGGGCAGGCAGGCAGCGCGAGCCCCTCCCTCCCCGCCGCACGCGCCGCCGCCCGGGACCCGCAGCCCCTCGCGCGGCTTAAGGAGGCGCCGCTGTCCGCAACCTCCCTTCCCCCGGCCGCTTAAGGTGGAGCCGGCGAGTTCCGAGTCCTGCGTGTGTCCCGGCACTCCGCCCTCCAGGCCGGCCCCTCACCCCCTGCCTTTCTGACCTCCAACAACAGTCCCCACTGCTCACCCATCTCCCTCTTCAACGCCCCCCCAGCATTCATCCACACCACGTCCCCTCACCCCGACCGACAGCAAACTCTTCCCCATTCCCTTCCTGCTCACTTCCCCACACCTGCCTCCATCGCACCGCAGTCCCTGCCCCCTTTGCCCCCCTCCCGGCGAGCTGAGCTAGTCCCCATCACCCCACTTCCCACACGGGGGAGCTGGGCCCATGTCCCTGCTTGCAGCTGGCTGTGGTGGCACTGCAGAGCAGCAGTGGTGGAGGCTTGGTCACCCCTTTAGGGTATGGGGGAGTCATGGGGTGCTTCCATACCTCCCCCCCAACAACCCAGGGCTCAGATGAAGTAACCCTGGGTTCATCTAGCAGGGGTGCAGCTAAGCAAGGCTGGCTCAGAAGGGTGGGGAACAGAGCACAGAGGTGCTCTATTCCTCTAGGGGGTGCCCAGTGGGTGGGGGACAGGAATGGGACACAGGAGCCTTTCTCCCCCAGGGGACAGTATTGGTAGCAATTGAACTCTTACCCGCTGCCCCCCATTCTGCTCCTTCAGGGGCCCCCTTGCTGCAGTTCATTCTGGCTCCCAGCAGAGGAACCACCATCGCCTCAGATACAAGCAACTCACATTAGCTCTCTTGGCTGCAGCCTGGTTAGTCACACACAGGCTCAAATGAGCCAGGGAGCCTGAACTCCTAAGGGCGGGGGGAGAGAACCCTTCTGGTGAGACACAGGGCCCAAGTCCCACACAGCTGCCAGGGCCCAGGACTGTAGCAGCAAAAGCCTGAAAGCCCTTGCAGGGCCCTTGCTGCTTGCCCACTCCCCTGGTGGCAGGATTTTGCAGCACAGCTGGCAGACCGGCATCAGCCGCTTTGCCTCTCTCCAGGGCTGACCGGCAACAGCTGAAAACGCCACAGAGCTGTTCACCATGAGGGTGCAGCCCCATGGCTGTTGGTTTGGATTTGCAGATCTGGAGCTACCTGGCAGCCAGACCTGGCTTTCAGATAGCCGGGGCCTAGATTCCCAATTGACATCATGCCATTGGCATCACCTGGTGTCAAGCGGCACCACTCCATTAGAGTCAACAGAGATGAAAGACTGATGCCAGCTGAGGATCTAGTTTCTTATCTGGCTACCAGCCTCAACCAATGGCCCGTGGCCTGAGGGATGGTGCCAGGCACAGCTCCGTGCAGGACAGCTTGGGGTATGAGGCTCCAGCCAGGCACGATGAAGGAAGTTGGGGGCTGGGGTGAGAACAGCAGCCTTGGTTATCAACACGTTATAGATGGGGAAATGAGGCAGAGAGAAGGGCTCAAGTCACACAGCTGGTGACACAGAACCCAGGAGTCCTGACTTCCAAGTCCCACCTCACCCTAACTCCCAGAGCCCGCTTCCCTCCCAAAGCCAGGACTAGAACCCAGGAGTCCTGACTCCCAGCTCCAACAGCCCTGGCCTTACTCAGTAGATCCCCTCACAGAGCTGGGAATAGAACCCAGGAGTCCCAGCACACACCCCCACCCCCACACTCATGCACCCCACTTTAACCACTAGAACATGGTCCCTTGGCATTGCTGGAAATAGTACCCAGTCACATGATCAGTCCTATGCCCTCTGACATGGGGGGTGGATTAAGGAGTGGCCATGCTTGAAGCTGCCCTGCTGGGCTAATCATGGAAGGCATCCAAAATGGTGGAGAGGGACAGTCTGCAGAGATGTAGCTGACGTAGACGGGGTGGAGAAAAGGACTTGAAGAATCCAGACTCCTGGGTTCTATTTCCAGCAGCGGGAGAGGAGTGGTGTCTAGTGGTTTGGGGAGGGGCTGGAAGCCAGGACGCCTGGGTTCTGTGTATGCTCCACGCTGTAAGAGGGGGATAATACCTGACACACATTAAAGACCGTCAAAGTGCAATCTCTGATTTTTAAAAAAGGAACTAGAAGTAGTTTAGGCCCAATGCCCGCCCCCAACCCAAAATCCTCTGGCAATTTTTACAGCCATGTTTCCCTTTTTAGGCACCCCCCACTCATTCAAGACCCACACCAGACAAACGGGGATCTGCCCATAGACGGACAGCAACAGAGACCAGAGAAAATGCTGCAAAGCGTAAACTGAGCAAACTAGGAAGGCTATTTGCCTTGCTCCCGTAGTTGCAGTGATGCCAACCCCAACTGGTAAAAAATAATGATGGGCCTCAAACCAAGTCTTGAGATTGGCTTCAAAATCATGAGATTTTATAGCTACCTGGCAGGGTGTTTTTATTCACTTCCTGCTATGGGGACTTTTAAAAGGTCACCTGGTTCAAGCTTTCCTCTGCAGTGAAGAGGGTGAGACAGGGAGGGTTTTTCCACTTGAGGAAATTAACTGAAAGAGCTACAGTAGCACATAGCGACTCCAGTCAAATTTCCCCATGCAGACAAGCCCTAATTGCCTTTTAATCAAACTTGCATGATTTGGTGACTGGTACTTTAAGGAAAAAAAAAAATCCCCACACACAAATAGTGTCAGCCTAGTGCCCAAAGCACAAAGGTTGCTACGAGTAACAATATGAAGGTTACATTAAAAAATTGCAGCCGTGCTCCTTTGTACAGGCAGTGGCGGCTCGAGGCAGAGCTGGGCAGGAGTTTTATGCCAGAAAAATGCGGATTTATAGACAACAAAACTTTTCAAGGACAGATTGGTTTCAATTAAAGGTTTCTCAGGTCAAAATGAGCCCCCCCCCCCCCAGTAATTTGTGTACTCACTTCTGCTGTAGAAGACCCAGGTTCAAGGTCCTGCTTTGACTCACTCCAATGTAGAATGGGAACAAATTTGAAACCCTCCAATTCTTTCACAAAACACAATCTGTTTCCAGCCCGATTGCACTTGGAACCCCCTTGTGCAAGGGGCTGTACAGAAGGGCTCACTTACATTTTATTCCTGATAAACTGCCTTTCATTCACAGGGGTTTCCTCTCTTCTCTCTCCCCCCACTCCCCCCCCGGAATTAGCTGGTGTCTCATTACCTGATCCTCTTTGGAAGCAGATTCACACACGGAAGGAGTTTCCCTGCAATAAGGAAGGTGTGCACATATCCACATTTAGTTGGAAGTATTCTGCTTCTGGCAATCCCCCCGCTGCTAGCGCACTGCATTCCTGCACACCGGGGTCGGCCTGCCTGTTCAACTCTCCTGCACTGGCCTCAGAAATGGCTAGATTATCGATTCAGACAGGATCACTGCGAGCACCTTGTCTGACCTGCGTAACACAGGCCACAGGACTTCCCTGAATCAACTTCTGTTGGAATTGGAACAGATAGTTTAGAAAAACCTCCCATCTCAATTTAAACAGCGCCAGTGATGAAAAATTCATCACGATGCTTGGTGAATGGTTCCAATGGCTAATTACACCCCGGTTAAAAATCTGCCCTTTTCCCTAGTCTGAATGTTTCTAGTTTCAGCTTCCAGCCACTGGCTCTCCTTAGACCTTTGTCTGCTAGCGGGACTGGCCCATTATCACAGAGTTATTCCCCTAGGTACTTCGAGACAGGGATCACGGCACGGCTCCTTGTGTCTCAGGATAAGGCAGGTTTCCCCCCATTTAATCATTCTTATGGCAACTCTCTGCCCTTCTCCAATTTTTTCACCTTCCTTCTCGAATTGTGGGCACCACTGACCTGGCCATGGCATTCCAACAGCTGTCGCCCCCCCCGCCAGACACAGCGATAAAATAACCTCTCCCCAGCTGCCTGCGATGCCCGTTTATCCATCCACCAGATGCCACCTCCCCATTTAAGCGCGGACACTTGTTCCTTTGGGCTGCCAACTCAAGGCAAGTTCAGGTACCACTAATGGCAGCCGCCAGCCCCCCACCCCCGCCACATCCCTGAACTCCTTGGGCCTCCGGGGAGAGGAACAGCTCCCGGCTCATCACAGCAATGACAACTGTCCCCTAGAGCCGAACAGCCCACACTCCAGTCTGATTTTATTTTTTTAAACAAAACTTTATTGGTAATTGTTTCAAATATGTTTACAACAAAGCACACTGTTAGAGAGGAAATGGGGGCTGGGGGGGGGTTGTTTTGTTTTTTCCAGTGAAACAAGGTTTGTCGGAGGACACAGACGTGTTTCCCAGGGCGGGGCAGATGATCCCCACCCTCTAGATGGGACTCTCAAGCTTCTTTGTGGGAAAGGGGGATTTTAGGGGGAGGACTAGCCACAGGGCTCCCCCGCCCCTGACAGTGCTCATGTATTTATAATATATATATAATTTATCTATGAAACCAAAAGAAGCTCACACACCTCCACCCCGGAGAGAAACAAGAAATTCAACCAGCTGGTGAATACACACAGTGTGAGACAGGCTGGGGGGTTAGAACAGGACCACCACACTGATGCACTGCATTGGGGGTGGGGGGAGGGCGGGGAGGATAAGTAAAGAATCAAACAGGAGGAAAAGTAAATGAATAGAACAAGAGCCCCCTCCCCTCTCAAATAGACTCATAGACTCT